CCCACATTCTTCAAAGCATCTTCTTTTGTGTTCAACAGAAGAAAGAACTTTATGCAGATTTAGAACAACTTGGGTAAATTATGACTAATTTAATTTTTATGTGAACCACATCTTTAAAGTGACAGACACATCCGTGCTTCTAAAGGTATAGGCCTATTGTTTTATTAAAATTTGGATAGTCTGTTAATATAATATTCCATACATTATCAGAGCTTGGTAGACATAATAGGGGTCGTGAATGGGTGTCCCTGATTTTGCCTCGCTGAAGGTGGCAACCCTAATTCTCACCTCTTTACCAAGTAACTTTGATACTTCATATAATACAGCAACAATGACCATGTCATTCTGTTACAGCCCATAATCAAATTATATCTAGCTCGTTTATATGTAGCTTGTTAAATTATATGTAAGTTAGCTCGTTTAACCGAACGTAAATCAATCACAGTCACTCGATGCTGCTTAAGGTGTTGATTCATGCCTTCCTTTAATCCAACAATCAAAAACAACTTAAATAGCCAATAAGACACACATAACACATTCACATGACCTGCTTCTGATTTTTGTTTTGTTTCAGGCTGAACAATCTGATGAAGATCCAGTGCTAATGTAAGTGCTTCACAAGTATTAATGTTACATTTGTAGTCCATGTTAAAAAATGTCAGTTCTATGATCGTGCTTTTTAATGTCTTATAATTTTGCCAGCACATGAAAATCCATAGTCATGTTCCTAATGCTTATTTCAAATGTAGTATACCTGATTGTTTCCATGTCTTCCATGGTCCTACAGCTGCTCACACACTTGCAGAAATTAGATGGTCTTATCCTTCAAGCAGATGTAAGTAGAGATTACTCAACAAATCAAATTTATTTGCAACATGTTTTATGTCTTGGTTCTGTTAGTGATGGTTGTGCTGTCTTTTTAAAAATTGTTTAGGTATTCGCCACTCCATCTGATGTCCAGCAGTCTCTACATTTGCCAGAGAACACAACTTAAAATTCTTGGTATGTAAACAGTAAAGGTTTAGTTCACCCTAAAATGAACATTAAGTCACCATTTACGCTATGGAAGCATATGTGTAGCAAAATTCAATTTAAAATGCAATATGTAAAATGGCAACGTATTTCTGTATTTTAATTTACATTTTACCGTACATATGTGCAACGTTTAGTGCAAAATAACAATGAAAATTAAATTATAAAATTTACATTTGCCATTTTCTACAATAGTTTTAATATGCAAATTAAAAACATATTTTAACGCTTTATAAGTTGCAAAATTAACATGAAAATGTATTACCCAAATTGATTAGATATGTTTAACATGTCCAAGCAAAAACTGTAGCAAAATTATCATTTAAATGCTGTTTTTCCTAAATGCATTTAGACTTAGGGGCAGGACACTTGGGATTACATTTTCATCATAATACTGCGTGATAATTGTAGCAAAATGCAGTGAGAATTTCAGAATGCATTCTGAGCCAAAGGTGCAGCAAAAGGGTAGCAAAATGGTGATTTAAATGTCTTATTTTTCTTAAATGCTTTGACACTTACATATAAGCTGTTTCAATAGCATTTTCATTTAATACCCTGCAACAAGTATAGTTTAAGTCAATGTGGAAGGCATTTGGTTAACAATGAATATTGACCTATTGTGCGTCCTGTTGCACAATGTATTGTTGGCTATTGCTACAAATATCCTCGTGCAACTTAAGACTGGTTTTGTGGTCCAGGGTCACAAATAAGATGTATTATGTATTATGTACATACTGTATTGTGAATTACTTGCTAATTGTTAATTGCATTTTACATGTTTTATATTTAAAAAAATAAAAAATAAAAACTACAGCTGGCATTTCAGCCAATATGTTCATATAAGTCAATTTTCTGGTCTTTTCTTCAAAAATAAATAAATGTTTTAAAACTCAGATAATGTTGTTTTCTCTTTTCTGTTGTGACTACTGTTATGAAAAAGTATCATATTTAAAATGTTGTAAATCTAAGAGTACGGAATGAAAAGCAGGTAAAAATAAGTTATATAACAGTATAATACTGTATTTGGTAATTACAGTACAGAACTGTAAATGTTGTTTACAGTAGTAGTCCTGTAAAAATACAGAATGTGGCTGGCAACCCAGCTGCCAGTATTTTACTGTAAATTTACAACGAAAAGTTTTACAGTGTAGGAGGCTGCAAGCTTAACAAGCCAGCATGTGCTAGTCTGCCTTCCACAGCCAACTTAAACATAGACGCCAGTCTGACTTATACAGCAATGCAACTGTTTGCTTTCTGAAATATAATTTTACTGAAGTGTTGGAAAACCTCCACCTTTTTTACAGTATTTTGACTGTGAAAAAGTGGTTTAAGCTCATGTAAGCGCTGAAGCGCTGTAAATGCTGACTTGTGCTCTTGCTCAGACATGGAAATGTACTAGAGACAGACAGTGCTTTCTTGGTGTGGTAAATGCTAAAGTGTCCAGATCTTTTTAGCCAGTTTTGCTTTTATGTGCCATTTAGTGCAGAGTTTATTGTTTGAAATAACACTGCAATGTTACAGTATAACAGAATAACACTTTATATAAAACTGAAAACATTTTATGTGTTTTGGCCATTCATTTATACAACATCAGCATTTTGGGGGCCTGAAAACGCAAACTTTTGAAAATGGGTTTCAAAGTGCAAGTTTTTGAAAATAATACCGTTATCGTTTCTGCGTATACTACAAAAAGGCGAATTTGTGAAAACAGTCACATCAGACCCATGCATATCACTTGTTCGGTCTATAGGTATGCGTATGTGCGCAGACGCATAGTATTTCTTTACAAAGTGACATCGCCATCTACTGGCCTGGCATGAATAACCCAGTGTTTTTAGTCGTTTTCTTGGATCAGTGTGAACGGGGTTCTTTTTGACAATGTTGTCATCTGTACGCAAAACTTTTCCAAAATCAAACAAAAACTTTTCTGCTTTTAGTACATCTTTGCTGTGTAAACATACCCAAAGTCTGAAAACGAAGTATTATATATTGTATATCATATAACCTTGCAAACATTGGCAAACCCAGTGAATATTTCAGACTCAAAAGTGTTTGTAGTATCAGCCTGGTATTTTGCTTCCAGATGGACTGATAAAAGTGCAGTTGCATAAAGTCAGCCAATCATATTGGAGCTTGCCAAATCAAGAAAGTTTTTTTGTGCAATATGCATCAGACAGCAAATGAACTGTGGGTGGACATGTCTGGGGCTGAGAACAGGCTTTTTGATAAGCACACATGCATATCTATATTTATTGATTAATTTTACTAGGTGGATATTAAGTTGAAGAGAGGAAGGTAGAAGAAAGAGGGGTGAAGAATGATTGATATGGAGTAATTGGCTCTGTACTGATTTTACCTGGCCATCTGCTAACACCCCTCTTTTTCTCTTTTCGCCATTTCATCTGGTCAGAATCTCAGGAAGAATATTAATGGTAGTTATTACTTTAAAATGAATACCTTTAATGTCCTTCATCCATGACTTTTGTTGAGTTGCACTCGGAGTGCACAGGAAGATCATATTGATCTTGTTAGTGATATGGACTTGCATGTGCATGCCGAATCATTTTGCACCTGGTCTTCATTGGCTGTCAGTAGTTTTGGGTTTTTTTCCCCACATTTTCTTCCTTCACTTCACCTCTTATAAATAATTTACTCTCCCTCATGTCATTCCAAACTCATATTCTTTCTTTTGTGGAACACAAAGTAAGGTCTTGTTGCTCTTTTCTATACAGTGAAAGTGTCCAAAACCTTTTTGGAAACTCAGAAAAACTGTCTAAAAGTTTCCACAAATTACATAAAAGCATTTATAAGTGGTCCATGTGTCTGAAAACATAGGAACATGTTTAGGAAAACAGATATTATAATAATGTTTTAGCTGTAATTTGTTGAAAATCTTCCACCTGAACAGTTTTCAAACCAGCAACTCAATCTTCATTGGCTTACCTGCATCTGCTACTCCACAAGCGGATCCAAAACGCTATATATCCTGATATAATCTGCACTTTCCACGTACATAATTATGGCCTGATTATGCATGTGGAAATTGGAGATGATATCAAGAGGCACTGCTGTGGAAAAGCCAAAACACATGAATGTAAAAGTCTGGAATTTATTAACATAATGAATGGAATATGTAGGGTATGTAGGACTGCTTTTCAATCTCTTTATACATGGGTAAATTTTAGTGAAGTGAGGGACATTAACTGTAGTCTTAAGCAGAAAATCATTTTCCTTTTAAAGAAAGAAAATGTTCAAATCAAACATTTGATTGTCTTATTGGTCAAAGTTTACATCTAAAATATGTAATATCTTCTATGTAATGTACTATCGAAATGCTGTACAAAGGCAAAATGCTACACAGATGGTTTTGGCTCATCTGATCAAACTCAAAGAAAACTAAAAAACTGACATCAAATCATTCACAATACATACATACAATATTTCCTTGAATATTTTGCTTGTATATGTTAATTTAATAAAATTCGTCTTAAATGGGCTTAGTCCGACTGTCATTCAATGACCAATTTATTTAGAAAGGACTAAAAGATTTGGAAAGAATCTTCCTGCAATTCATGTTTAAAGAACAATATGTAATCAACAATGAGCTCAGAGCATTGGGGATGAGAACTCCATGAAAGTATAAAACAAGGAGTAGCTATGAGAAAAGGTATGAGTGTCAGTGCTAGCAGAGAGGTTTGCAGGCAGATCATTACTCACTTGCTGATTGTTCAAAGGCATGATGCATTTCTCACAGCATATCCATAATTTAAAGTGAATATGGATTGAAAAGAATCTGCTTCAACAAAGGCAGCAATTGTTCTTTAGAACAGCAGAATTGTAGCAGAAAGAGAAATCTGCAGACAGACATGCTGACTGAAACAATCTCTGTCTGTCTGTCTGTCTCTCTGTCTGTCTGTCTATCTATCTATCTATCTATCTATCTATCTATCTCTGTCTGTCTGTCTGTCTGTCCGTCTGCCCATCCATGCAACGTCTCTATATATCTATAAGTGTGCATCAGTTCTTGCTATAAGTGTACATCTTCTTGTGCCACACTTTGCCAGCTATTGGCAAGCTCAGCTCATTAAAGGAATTAATTATTGAAACTTTCTCTGTGAGTGTTAGACTATGTATTTGTCTATACTCTTTCCAGTGCTCCATTCACTAACCTTCAAACTGACAGGTTCTGCAGAATGAGGAGAAAGAGCACAGCCGGGAACCATGCACATAAGAAACTAGAGGCAAACTAATTACAGTCGGTATAATTAGCGGGCATGTGGCTGTCCGCCAGCTCAGCTCGCTTTAAAGAGAAACTCTGCCTCTGTTAAAGACTTAAGGGAAAAGTCCATATTGTATTTACAATCATGGGAACTGCTGCTTGCTTTGAATCAGTTGGACCTGGCAGAGCATTATTAGTCTTTGGGTCCAAATCCCACACACTGTGATGTGTGTGTGTGTGTGTGTGTGTGGGAGACAGAGTGTGAGTTTGTACGTGCAATGTGTGCTTGGCACAATTAAGTTAATTAATTAGAAGTACAATCAATAAAGCTAACTTCATGATTTGTCGATTTAGAAATTGCTCTTTGCCTTATCAGCAGGTTCAGGTTTATTGGGAATTCATCCACAGCATGTTGATGAACTAGTTGCCTATTGGAATGATTTATAAGAAAGTAGCTTTAAAACATGGCTGTAAAAATATTTTTTTGCTCCCTTCTATTTCCAAACCTGCATATGTATGAATGTGTAGCTAATCATTTTTTTTATCAATATTTAATATCTTAATCTTACTGTAGCACTTTCACAGCTATTATGAGTCATAATCAAAAGTGCAACTGGGTCAGTTTAAATAAGAAAAGCCTAAATTAAAAATAAAAGATACTACTAAATGAATCTTTAAATCTAGAGTAAAGTAATGCGGAATGTGAGGTGAGAGATTTTGTGATCCATGAGTGTAGAAGGGACATAATTTGGTATATGTTTGGTATAGATCTGATATAATTTACCCAAAAACAACATTTTTTTGAATGGAATGCAGTGACAGAAGTAAGCTTTTCCATTAAGGGGTGATATTTGCCCTCTTAAATTGATTCTCAGGGGCATTTTTATTTATTTATTTTTATTGATTTATTTTATATTATTTTAATTTTAACTATGTATGTA